GAAGGAAGGAAGGAAGGAAGGAAGGAAGGAAGGAAGGAAGGAAGGAAGGAAGGGGAAAAGGAAGAGCAATAGCAATAGAACTTAGACTTATATACCACTTCACAGTGCTTTTACAGCCCTAAGAGGCTTACACAGTCAGCATATTGCTCCCAAAAATTTGGGTCCTCATTTTACTGACGTCAGAAGGATGCAAGGCTGAGCCAACCAAAAGGGGATCACACAACCCTGGCCAGGCCACTGCAACCATCGCTAAACGAACCATTGTAAGTCGAGGACTACCTGTATGGGCCTTTAAACTTTCTCTTTGCTCTCCTTCAGAAGCGGAAGCAAGGAATATTTTCCAATGAGCTGGGGACATTTGGTCAAAGTCATCTTAGCCGTGAGTTTCCTTTCAATTTTTTTCCCCCCTTTGGTTTCAACAGTGCCTAGCTTAGCCAAACCCACCAACCGACTCCAATACAACCCTGACGCTAATGCTAGGCGGTGGACTCTTTAGCTAATGAAATACGCGCCAAAAAAGGTGTATCGTATATCCGCCTGTACCATTGCAGGGTTGGAAACATACACCAGAAGTTTGTCTCCTTTCGTTAGCAACATGATTCTCGCCAGATAAAGGCTTTTAAGCGATTTGGTCTCATTGATGGAACTGATGGATATGATCAAGTCATTCGGTTCAGGATACCCTACAGTTTTGTACCCGATCTTCTGCCACACAGTTTTTGCACCTTTCGCTTTCTTCCCGCAGCAAATGCCTTCTTCACAATTGCACCTAGAGCAGGAAAATGTCACTTGAGAGTAGACAAAATATCGTCCGTCTTTGGGGATGATGAAAGAAATATTTTCCTCATCCAGTTGGAACTGGTTCTCTTCGGGAGGAATCTCCCAAAGGAGGCTTGATCCGTCCTTACTCACATTCACACATGTTGTCCTTGAGACTTTAGAATTGACTGTGAACAAAGAGAAAGAAAAATCTAGTTTATTGGCAAGTTCACGCTAGACATTCAAAGATACAATCCCGTTTTCTAATCTCTCACGTGCAGGCCAATCTTGTTTTGCTAGCAGCTGTTAAATCAGCTGTTTCTCTCTTGAGATTATCCATCCTAGCCCCCCCACCAAATACTCTAGTTCTAGAAATTTACTGTGCTCTTTGTGCTAGACCAGGAGTCAGCAACCTGTGGCTCTGGAGCCGCATGTGGCTCTTTCATCCCTCTGCTGCAGCTCCCTGTCGCTCAAAATATGTGTCACAACCGCCAATGTGCGACACCCACCTGCACTCAATTTACTGAGCTTTTCAACCTCCCCAGTAGGTTTTGTGGTTCCCAGTGTTTTCTTTTCTGTGGGAAATAGATCCATATGGCTCTTGGAGTGTTTAAGGTTGCCGACCCCTGTGCTAGACAGACCCAGGGCAGAATACCGACTAACAAAATTGGACTTGTCGCCTTGCTAAAAAAAATTACCTCGTGCATGAACACTTGGCCGGGTTGTAGGATCTGTAATGTAAAGGAAGAGAAAAGAGGTTAAGCCACCAGAATAATGTCTCTGAACATCTAATTGCAGGACTAGATTTGCAACTACGTTTTGGCTAAAATTCCACAAATGCACAGCTGCTTTTAGGAAGTATAGATATTAAGAACTCACGGGATGCCTTTATGACTACACATATTCCCCTCTACACATAGACTATGTTTGAATATCTAATTGTGATATTGAAATCTCAGCTTTTCTTTTTGTGTCTGTCTATCTATCTATCTATCTATCTATCTATCTATCTATCTATCTATCT